CAGTGCCAGAGCCTAGCATTACTTGTCTGCAGCAATTCTCATTAGTTCTGGATGAGCTCAAATGGCTGTTTGTATGAGTCCACAAAACACATCTTTAATTGAGATTTAAATACACAATCCGATAATGAGCTGGTGTAAACCAGTTTTGGAAACATATGCAGCTGCAGAATTAGCCCCTGGTAAGCAGCATTGATGAATGTCTAATGGTACCCTGGAAGGCAGCACTGTGTGGCTTCCACTGCAGCTGGGGATCCCACATTTTGTATATTTTATAAAAAAAAAATAATAAATATATATATATAGGGTGGACAGAAGGGTTCCTTTTTTCCATCAGAATGAATAAGGAATTGCTTCACTTCTTGGAAAACTCCGGAAGGGATGTGGTGTCTTAATAAGTTTCCACATGGAAATCTTTAAGACCCTGTTTGTTGTTAGACAGACACAATAGTTTTCAAAATGACTTTTCATGTGCCATGTGATTATTTCTGTGTGAGGAGACCTTGTGTGTTGTAAGTGTATCTGTTGCCTGAAATCATGTTGGCCTGGATATTTAAGTATTTTTCTGGGAAACTTTCTGACTTGCATGTATTTTTGCAAGTTTTATGTCTTCATGGAGCATTGCAAAGCTTCTGCTTCTTTCCAAAAGCTTTTAAATAGGCTGGAGCAAACTTATCTTGCCTCTTAGTCTCCCAAAGTCGTATGACTGTCTGTGGATATTTTAAATCACGTTTTCAGAAGTTATAGAACAAATTAATCCTGACCGACTTTTCAGTATTTCTTTGGTGGCTTTTCATGGTATTCAGGGAGGATTCCTGCCTGTATTATTTAAGCCAAATTCAGCATAACCTTAATTCACTGCTGAAAATAGGGTTTAAAAGTATCTGTGTTTACATCCCACCCACCCCTCCCTGGAAAACTTCCCTGTGGAACTTGAGCTCCCCTAAAAAGAAGCTCCTCCAACACATCTGTTGGTATCCTTTAATCTTTTAAAAAAACAGCACTTAATTTTGTTTTAGCCTGGACTCCTTTACTTCCTCTGCTATCATATCATAGGCAAGGTTCTTAACCTTGATCTGCCTCAGGTTATCCACTTAAAAATTGTAATCTAAATAGCAACCTACTTATATTGCTAGGATCAATTCATTTATTAATTAACTGAAAGCTCAAAGAAAATATAAAATGCCATAAATGTAATTTTTATCATTAACGGTACATGAAAACTAAGAATGCTAAAACATTCATTAGCAAAATCTGGTTGGTACTGAAAGGATATTGCATTAGCTCAAAACGGGAAGGTGCATTATCTGGATGTGTGTGAAGATGTATGCCCTGTTACGGCCCCTAGGAGTGGAAAAATTCTGATTCTGAGCATCCCTCATGCCAGTCAGGAAAAGCACTGACTGTCAGTAGTGATGGGCTGTACTGCAAGACTGATGAAAAATATATCAGCAGTTGGGACTGGTTTGAAGAAGGTGTAGATCTATGTTATGTAAAAAAATTTAAAGTTGTCTGGCTTTTTGGCCTGTTCGTAATCATTCCCTGAGACCTTTCACAGTGTTTTTGACTTGTCCTCTGTGGGCTGCCTGTTTGATGGCATGAAAGGATGAGCAGGGTATAAAATTTGTTTCTCAATATTAATTGGTCCAATATGTGGTGCTTTTCTGCATGTCTATCTTCTTCAAAGTTTGCTCCTGCTCAAAGTGCATGCTTTCTGTTGTCTTGTGTTGTGGTAAAGGGCTTTTAGCAAGGGAAGGCTGCTGTTCACTGGTGGGAAGATGTTGTGCTTTGATCAGCAGCTTTTGTCCCTGCTGAACACCCATGCTCTGATCTGAATGCTGTGTGTGCGTCTCTGGATGCTTGATCTGTGTATTTTATTTGCTGTAGTTCTTGTCACAGTATTATGCAAAGCTTTTTAAAATGCTGAAGCTCTCCCCAACCCCAGATTATTTTTCTTGTGCTGTTGTTGTGACCTCTGGCTGAGGCGTAGCTTCTGTACACCGCATATACTAATTTGATGCTGTTTATATCAGAAATATGATGCTCTAACTTACAACATAACCTACAACTATCTAGGTTATGAAAATATATATTCAGTGAATATGTCCTCTTTGTTTTGTTACTTTGTTTTATTCATGTTACTTATTTCAGCATAGCTCAGACGACCTAAAATAACAGCTGCTTTCTCCTGGCAAGTTTGAATGCCCACGCATCAAAGCACTGAAATTCCTAATCCTCGTATCTGTGTAGACTGTATAGATGCCCACAGGGCCATTCTCAATACAAAATGCCACTTCTGTGTTTTCTTTTAAAAGCTGGTGATTCTAGCAGAGGTAGCCAGGGTGTGTCACCTGGAAAGTGTGTGTTTGTTCATACCCAGCTAGAGGGGATTCAAACCCCACTTCTATGGAACAAAAGTGATTACCACATGAATCATTGCATGCTATTTGAGGCCAAGTTGCAGATATCTTTTTCAAGCTGCTAAATATTGCTTTCATTAATAAACTTATTTTTTTAAAACCCCACAGAATCTATCACACTTTGGTAATACTGAAATAGACATAAAACACTTTGGTTTTACCAAGATAAATTTAATGGGATAAGGGACAGCGTGGACCTCATCTCATTCATCTGCAATAAAATAGAAGTGGCAACCACCTTGAGATCTAGGTAGCATGAAAGCAGAATTTTGTTATTTATGACATATACTTGCAATAGAAGGTGCATTTAAATGTAAAATGTATTGCCAAGATTGGTCAAAAACAGTACTTGCACCAGTGATAAGGCACTTTATGGTCAGTTGTGTGTCATGGCTTATCCAAGTGGAATTGCTGCTGTGTTCCCCTACAGCTTTCACAGCCACAAGGTCAGGGGAGTGGGAGCACTCAGCAGCAGCCTTCTCCTTTGCAGCATGAAAACCTTTATTCACACTTATCAGCTAAATGTACAAGAAGAAACATTTCTAATTTTCTGTGAATCTTAGTACAAGTATAAAAGCTTGACTGTTCTCTACTCTTTATATGTCATGGACCACATTTGCTTTCTTTTGCTTTCTTTTGCTGCAGCTGAGATGCTGCATGCTGCAAACAATAGGTGCTATGCCTTCAGTGCCAATCTTGCTGGTAGGAGCAATGACTGGCCCTGGCTCTGCTCTTATTCTGAGCGAAGGGCATGGGGGAAATATTCTTTCTTTAGGAAGTGCCATCCACTTCATTAATCTTGTTCTTAGTTTTATGTATTAGATCATTTAAAAATCCCTCTCTTTTTATAGGTTAAAATAAGCCTTAACAGTCTACAAGCATGAACAACCAGCATATACTTGGAAGTTCATACCTTTGTAGTATGAACTCTTTGGTCGTGTCTTTAACTTATGCAAAGAAATCGGGGTGCAAATAACATGGCCTAAAGTAATTTGAGCAAGCAAAATTCATTCTGCATAGCGATAGTTGGTCCAATCACTTCATCCTTACATACAAAGGGCTCAGCTACGGAAACATTGTTAAGTGTTCAGTCCTGTGGCAGACTAAATTAGACTGCTCTGGGAGTGCAGCTGAAGAGTCACACCTTTGCTTTTCCAGTGCTGTAACTACAGAGAAAGGGGCTCTGTAAAAACACATCCCATGTGGCAAACAAAATAAAAAATCCCACAAGGTTAAGTGACAGGTTTTGTGACAGAAGAGAAAGAACATAGCTAACCCTCTTCCCTCTGCTGCTGTCATTGCAGTAGGACTCTAGAATTAGTTTTTTAATGCTTTTCAGACATATAAGTGCCCTTTCCTTTACAACCTCTCAAATTATTGCACAGTTCCATGAGAAGAGATTTAGTGTGCAAAGAGATATTCCCAAATCCCCTAGCTAAGGAGTCAGATGGATTAAAAAACTGAACAAAGATAACCCTTCTGCCTTAAGGCAGAAGGATATTTAGTCTATGACTACTTTTTTTTCTTTCTCTGCCAGACTTATCTTCCCAAAGCTCTCCTTTCCCTCTCTCCTTCCCCACTTTGCCATATGAAAAGCTCAGTGTGATGTGTACTCACAACCTCCAGGTTGCCTGGACGCTCTTGCTGCCCGAGACTGTGAGCCTTAAAATTATTCTCCTGGCATGCGTGTGATTTTTTTTTCCACCTTCAGAGAGGAATCTGGCCCTTTTCAATCTCATCTGTTAATGATCACTGGTCCTTCTATCTTAGCGTCTGTAAAAACATTAATTGGGCAGACCACATACAGCTAGGTAGGGAACAGCACAGGTGTCCTGCTGCGGGTACAGAGAGATGTGGAAGGCCAGTGGAGAATGTGCTCATTATTTAAGGCTCACTGATAATCGCAGGAATTCTGTCATGGTTGCCAGTTTTTAGATTTGTGTGTTGAAACATCTTGAGCAAAATGTTAGTGAGAGCATTTCTGCAGCATCCTGCTGACTGAATTGCTGCCGCGTTTGCCATCTGCCTGCAAGCTCACAGTGGTAATTATAGTGAGTCTCGCAAGTGCTGGAATGGGAGGTATGTCAAATGCATTTTCCTTCTTTTTGAAGGTAATTTTCATTTTCTCAACTCATTTGAAACTGCATATGATTATCAGCTGCAGGTGTGAGAGCCACACAGAAGACAGACGTGTACACACCCACAGAGCAAGATACCAACTCTCAGAGTGTCCAGAAGAGCTTACATACTAATCTTGGCACTTCTAAATTAAATGTAATGCCGGAGAAAATTCCCTCATTACTGCTCCTGTCCTTGTGGATAGAATCTTAATGTCTCTCTCTCTCTCGTTTTTTTTTTTTTGTTTTTTTTTTTTTGTAATTGTATAAAAAACATTTGATTTGGGTGACATTCACTGGAATAAAATGCACTGGAATAGTAACACATATATTATAAAAGCTACTGAAAGTGGAAGTCACATCCCATTTGCTAAAACTTCCAGGGGTTTGAGTTTTAGCTGAGTTGCTGCCATTATATATGTCAGTTGTTTCAAAACCTTGCAGGGTTAAAAAGGATTGTGGGGAGCAGGGAGAGGGAACTGAAGTAGGTGGTATTAACAGCCTTCCTCTGTTTGCTGCAGGCATTTCATTTAGTTGCCATTCAGAGCACCTGATTGTATTCTGCGTGGTCGGTGGAGAAAAGAGGTGAGTCTGGAGGCTGATCCAGAAGACTTAACTTAGGTACATGTATTCCCAGCACGGTTGCTGTGGGATGTGATGTGCAGCACAGCCTTGTAGGTCTTTGATCTCTTAGCCTGGTGCTAACTTCAGGAGTCGGACAGGACAGTGGTGGCTTATCAGCCACGGTCAGGATAACTGGGATGAAAGGTAAAATCGGCCCCATGTGATGAGATTTAATCTGGTGTGTGAATGCCACCAAGGAAATGGGTTCCTGGAGCTGACCTTTTTTTTATTTTTTTATTTTATTTTTTATTTTATTTTTTATTATTTGAATATTGGCCACCTTGCAAGAGGAGATTTGGATCCAGCATTGGACATGAGAGCTGGTCCTAAGGGGCTGCTCCGGACCTTCAGGAGTCTGCCCGTCCTCATGGGAAAGCCACTTCTCAGGCTTGTGGCTGGGATTCACCTTGCAGATGTAGAAGAGCAAGTGGGCAGAAGGAAGACTCACTTATCACCATGTATCTTCTTTCACGATCTGCTGGGAAAACTGGTGGGAGAGAGGCATGAGTAGAACCTTGCTCTCCGTGGGTTGTGCAGTGGGACTTGCTTGGAGTGATCCACTGGAGGGGAATACATTCATCAGAAAAATTAGTTGTTTTGTTTGCCATTTTTCTGGTCCTGCCAGGCCAGAAGGTGGGAAGTGAGCATGGAGATACTTCTTTTGGCACCACTTCTGTCCCTTCTTTCCCTTAAAAGAAGAAGATGGAAACTTTGTCCAGCCTGCATATTCTCTGAAGTGTCACTGAACATGACTGAATTGCTTTCCAGACTCTTTTACCCTTGTGAGACTGGGAAGATCAGGGCTCTGAAGGGAAAGAACTACTGAAGTTGAGGGCAACTTACAGACCATCCAGGCCATGAACAGAATTTAAAGGATGTAGAGAAGAGTCCTTGAGGAGTTGTAAGCACCAGGCCTGTCACAACCTGTTTAAACAGGACATTGTAGTGGTATGTTTTAAAGTTAAATCTCTGCATTTGCACTTGCAATATCAAGAATCAGGCATACTCAGCAGTTTAATACGTTAAAGGCAACAACAGACTTGAGTTTTCTAATTTTATGTCTGAAATAAAAGCATGGTGTTAAGGTCAACTTCCTTTTTCAAGATGTAAATTAATTCTGGGAGAGTGGAATATTGTGTACTTTTCAAACTAGAACCTCTGTAAGCACCTTGGCCAATGAAGTCTAGTTTCCAGTAGATTTGTATTTCAGAGCAGCTTATTAGCTCCAAAGGACATATTTTCTACAAATGGAGTACATGCCATCTTCTTTCATCACCTTTTTCCTATGCCTCAGACAGTAGATGCTCTGCTCACCAATAGAGGCTGAGCTCATCCATCAGCTGCTCTCTAGTGTGGGCAGTCACTCAGATACCCTACTGCTATGCACAAACTGGAGGACTTTACCTACCGTGAGCACTCCACAATTCTGTCAGAGGTAGTTGAAATTAGCCAGTAGGTTCAAAAGTTATTTAGAAACACATATATAGTGTGATCCCAGAAGTCATGTTTCCATAGGAACCAGCTAAAAATAATCTGTATTAGTGCTCAGCTTCTATCATGATGAACTGGTATATAATTCTTTTTTTTTTATTATTTTTTATTTTTTTCTCCCCCTCATCATTGCAGCTGCTTGTTAATAGTTTGTGGTAGAATTTACAGACAAGTTTACAAGTCATCATATGTGCAATTGATTGTGTGTTTTTTATATCGTCTGCCTTCTCTCCTGCTGACTAAAATGGGAAATTAACAGAGCATCCTTTCTTATGACTTAAAAACATCCAGAATATTAAAAATAGCCTAAGGCTTAAAAACTACTTCACCTGGTGAGACAGAGTTCTGTACTAACAGTCATATAAATGTGAATGTTGTAGCTCCATAAGTCTGCAGGGCTGTTTGTGGGATCTGAAGGCTTAGATGCCTGTACATCACAGAAAGCGTGCCATATTGCAGCATGGCAACTTGTGAATATTTGCAGTTTGCAAGTAATGAGTTGCTGCATACCAGGAAATTGTCACCAAATAAATTATTAAAATTTTGAACCCATTCTTACCTCAGAAGAAATGTTCTTCAGATAGCAGTTTTTGTTTTGTTTTGTTTTGTTTTGTGGCATGGTGCTTTAAGTTGTATACGATGAGACAAAAAAGGCAGCTTAGAATGAGGTGATGTATATTATAGTATCACACATCTTCCATGACTAAGATGAATTTCTGTGCTTGCAATTGCTTTTGTCTGTGTTTCCAGAAACAGGTTAGAAATTGTCTGAAAAGATGGCAATGGGATGATGCATTCCTAGGGAAACAAATCACTGCAGACATCTGGTTTGAGAAGTTGTATAAAAGTATCCAGCACTGAACTTATCCAAATCATTCTCTAGCCCATTATAACACAGAATTATAACACAGTATTATATTCTAAATTTCTGGAGGATTTTTTTCCAGTCCTGGTTTTTGATTTTAAGTTTCTTTTAAACTCAAGTTAGGGTTCAAATTATAAAGCTTAGCACTGGGAGGTGTTATTTTTATTTTTTTTTTTAATTCAAATTTTAACTCTAAGACTATATATATATATATATATATATATATATATACTTTAAATACGGTATACTTAATAGTAAAATTCACAGATTTTTCATAGTACAGTACTAGGTATAGCATGCCAAAGAGGGAGAAGGAAAGAGTGCACGTGTCTTCTGAGTCTCATAATAGCATGCCACGTAACAAATTTTGAGTTATGAATTAGCAGCTGATGAATAATTTACATACCCAGAATTAATCATCAAATATATTATTTAAATTAAAAATGAATTCAAGAATTCAACATGCTGTCTGTGGACAATTCATTGATAGAAAAGAAAAAAGGATGAAATTAATCAAATAAATAATTCACCGTAAATCATTTGCTTCTTATTATAACAAGGTAAAAAATGGATAAAAAATGGATCCGCTTCTGAAAGCATGGCTGAGTTTGACTACACATACGTATCACCACAAGAACAGCTGTTAAAGAATAATCCCTGTTTTAATTGCATTTAGCTCCAGACAATAGCTGGATACAGATTTGGTAACAAAGGCGCTGACTTACTCCATTTATTAAAAGCTTTTTTGTTTATTTGCTTTCATGACAAAGAACCCTAAGCTAATGGCTCTGCAAAGTGAGAAAGACTGTCCTACCCTTCCCAAATCTTCAAAATACAAGTTTCTTATCTGAGAAGGTTTCCTGACCTTCTCTCTCACTGTCTACCAACTCAGAGCATGCTCTCTCTCTTTTCTGAGGAGCTGGTTATTAAAAAGGTTTAGAGCAGACCTTTCCCAGCCGTCAACGCCTCTCTTGAAGTCAGTGCTAGAGGATGCTCCTGTACAGCACTCGCCATCACTCAGGTGGAGCTGCCAGCGAGAGGACTACTGCACAGGCTGATGCAGGGACCTTGTCAGGAGCATTGCTCAGTGACCCCTGTTCTGATTTTCAGATGGAAGGTGGGGAAGAGACAGCACAGAAACTAATAAGATGTGTGCGAACATTTGCTGTGAGGCCTCAAGAGCAGTGAATCACCAGGTACCCCATCTTCAGCATCTTGGTCTCTTATAGCTGGATTTAGTAAGCCACACTGGTCCCACTCTGTACCTCTGTACCACTATACTGCCAGTACTCAATGCTGCAAAGACTGCATCAGTGATTAGGCTTTTTTTTTTTTTTTTTTTTTTTTTAAGACCCTAAAGCAAGTCAGGATTGGACAGTTCTCACTTGCAAGAACTGTGTTAATCAGGTGAGGACAAATCCAGCCCTGTACCCTACACTTGCTGAGGTCCTAGTTTAAGTCCCACTACAATAAGGGCTGGCAGCAGTTGTAGTGAGAAGGTGAGGGCATTTATCATGAAATATCTGTATAGGTTTTGAACAAAATGGCTTTTACTGCTTCCTCAACCACTGTCAGGGAAGTGCTAGAACAAATATTGGCTAGAAATCCTGAGTGCAAAAATAGATGGCATGTGAACTGGAGCATCCACTTAAGTACAAATGGTGCTTTTCCTAGAGAGCTAAAAAATCCCTGTCCTGTCAAAATTGATGTCATGGCTGCAAGTCTGAGATGCTCCATGGCAGTGGGTTCAGCATTGTTGAATGTCTGCACTGTCCACTCTTGGCTTTTGTCACATCATTGAGTCAGGCAACAGCTGGTAGCCTGACTCTGTCACCATGCTATAAAAGTGCCTCATCCTTTAGCTATCAGAAATTGCTGAAGATACTAGTTTTCTCTGCAGCTGAATAATACAGTAGGATAGCATATACACAGCACCTGTAAAATGATGGAAAAGTGAGCTGGAAGAAAAGGAATTAGATGAGTGGAAAGGGTTAAAATTGCCTTTGTGTCAGCTGTGCAATATCATATTAGTAAAAATAAAATCATCAGAATAATACAATCCCACAAAGGTATTTACATCAGCATTTTGTCCTCTGAAAATATATTAGCAGCAGCTTTCACACCATCCTAGCAAAATTTGCAGTGGCAGAAAATTGCTTGCCATTAGTATAAAATAAGGTTTCAATTTCTTCCCCTTAAATTTCAGGTCCCCAAATACTACATAATAGTTCCCAATATGCCAATGACTCTGAGATTTTTGTAATGCTGGCAATTTTGAATGTACTCACAATGTTTTTGCCTTAGTGATGTGAAAGCAATCAGCACTGCAGAACAAGAAAGAAGATGGAAAAGACCAATACCATGTATTAATCAGCTTCAAAACATCACATAATTCAGATTGCCACATGCTGAATACAAATGTTGTAGAAATGTTCAGAAACTGCAGTCAAATACCTTTGAATGTCAAATGAAATTACTCTGGGAATCTTCTAAGCCCTCTTCTTAAAACACACTGGAACATAAATCCCCTACTTTCATTTGATTAGTCCAAAAGTCTATAGGATATATTATTACATCTAGACAACATGACCAGAGTCTTAGTCATTAGCATTGCTGAACACACAAATTCCTTTAGGTCCTTGCTTTTTTCTTGTTCTTTATCTTCTGAATGGAGCATAATCAGTGAATATTTTAAATAAAAATACATTAGACTCATTGATTCTTATCATAATTATTTTTTTTTTTTTAAAGAAAATCCCTTTGGATGTTTGCATCTGCTCAATTAGAGTGTGATAGTAAAATAATAACAAAAAAGTGAGTATTAAGAATTGTGGGTAGAACTATAAGAGATAAAATCTTTGTTTGACAAGCTACCATGCAATAGTAACAAGCAACTCTGACAATAGAGCTTTGACATAATTAAATCACAGAAATTTGTGCTCAGTCTGCCCGTAATGAATTGTTGAAGCACTATGCACATTTAGCTTTATCCTGGGGAAATGACAACAGAAGGTGAAGGCAGTTGTGCAAAGAGCTTGATACGAATAGTAATAACAAAACCTCTGATCCCAGAAAACACCTCAGTTTAAGAGAGGATTTATGCCTGTACCTCAGTTCTATTAAATTTAATAAGACCTAAGTATGAGCTTAAAATTAAGTATGTTAAGCGCCCTTCTGCCTAAGGAAACCTTGTGTTTGCAAGAAATCCCTGCTTCCCTCTCATGTTCTGTTATTGAAAGAGGTTGAGCAGAGTACAGTAATGGCTGTACTGGTCCATATGTCACCACATCTCATGTTGGGCAATGGTTACAGGTTGATATGTAAAGTACTGGGCAGGAATTCAGTACTTTGCTGGTATACGCTCCTAGCCTCCAGTGGCTTGAAGTCCGCATCCTGGTATGCTGTTTTCATGTGTTGCAGCCTTTGATGGACTTCTTTTTCCCCTCCATGAATTTTTGTGGCTGGCTTTTGTAATTGTAAGTTTGTAGCATCGTAGCCAAATTCTACAAGCTTCATAGCAACTTATACAGCCAGGCTATACATTTAGTTATTTTTTTAGAAAGTACATCTTCAGTCTGAGAACTTTGTTTAATGCCTACTAGTTCTTATACTAGAACAGAAAATGAACAGTTGTCTCCTCTTCTCTCTATACCCTTTCTGATTTTGCCAACCCCTCTCATTCTTCATCTCCATTATCAGACTGAGGAATCACAATGTATTGGTTGTTCCTTGTT